CATGACCTTTTTCCCCCCTCCTGGAGTATAGAAATATGTGTAAATATATATTTTTAAATGTCTTTATTTTTAAAATTATTTTTCTCTATTTTTGTTTTTCCTCTAGATAAAAGTTAAACAGCTAGAAGAACAAGTACAATCTTTTACTGACACCAGCTTACAGAATGACCAACTACGAAAGTTGAATAAGGTGCTACAGGCCAAATATGTTCAGGTGTGATTAATATCTACAAAAGTGAATTGCTGCTATACTTAGTTTTTTTTTGGTCTATTTTTTTGTTTCTGTTTTTGCTTTTGTTCTCTGGCTGAAGTGATCAAGAAACGCTATCATTTTTCCAAGTATCTTTCCTTTGTGCAAAGAAAAGTGCTCTTTATTTATTTTTACTTCTATTTAAAAATTTTATTACGTGTTGGCAAATATATATATGTATGTAGTTCATTGATTTTTTTAAAATTTATTATAATTTAGGTTCTGGGGTATATGTGCAGGTTTATTACATAGGTATAGATGTGCCATGGTGGTTTGCTGCATCCATCACCCCGCCATCTATGTTAGATATTTCTCCTAATTCTATCCCTCCCCAATCCTCCCATTCCCCGCTATCCCTTCCCTAGCTCTCCACCCCCCAACAGGCTGTGGTGTGTGATGTTCCCCTCCTTGTGTCCATGTGTTCTCATTGTTCAACACCCGCGGTGTTTGGTTTTCTGTTCTATTACACATGCTCATGAATGTTTATTGCAGCACTCTTCACAATAGCAATGACTTGGAACCAACCCAAATACCCATCAATCATAGACTGGATAAAGAAAATGTGGCACATATACACCATGGACTACTATGCAGCCATAAAAAGGATGAGTTCATGTCCTTTGCAGGGACATGGATGAAGCTGGAAACCATCATTCTCATCTATGTTTAGTTTTTAAGAAATTGACATCTTTCTCCCTACTTTATCATGCAATCCTAGAAAGATAAATACCCTGTCCCTTGACTCAATTTAACAAACTTTTTTAAAAGCACCTAGTAGATACAAGGTTTTGCTAAGCCTCAGAAATTTGTAAAGATACCTGACACAGCATTGAGACATTCAACTTGCTTATTATAGTTAGGAAATGTACTCTATAGACTTTATTAGAGAATAGAAAATTATGCTTTTCAGAAAAATAGATTGTATTACTGAACATTGATTGGGAGAATTAATATGAGTAGAAGTAGTGAGAAATGCTTTCATAAAGGCAGTGCTTTTTGAACTTGAGCCTTACAAATTTTGGCAGTTGTGAGGAACAAGTGTCTTTGTTTTTTTTTTGAATTAAAGGCAAACTCAGAACTCAGTTCCAAGAAGGTACACCTGCAACAGGCAGATGCTCGCCTGAAAGAGGTATTGGTAGTGAAGGTGCTTACTTGTCAGCATGGTGGCTCTTGAGGCTAAAAACCTTTCATAGGTCACATAATATTTTAACAAATGAATAGAAAAATTAAGCAATATATTGAAAACATTTAGCGAAGAACATACCCCAGGAAGGTGTTACCAGAAGAAAATGAGTAATTGCAATTATTTACACATTTAGCACGCATATCATTAGGTTATTTTTAAAATCGTTAACTCTTAATAAAAGCATATGTAACTTCTGTATCTATGATATTTGTGTATCTTCCCTGGTAACCAAGGAACTAAAATATGTTTTCAAATGGAATACTCATAGGATTCTAACTCCTTGACTCTGCTGATGAGCATTGAGGTCACAGAGTTGTTAGACGGGGGCCTCATTAGATACACGCTCTGACAGCCTCTTTGACAGGGAAGTTGGCGTAAGGTCTGTTTCTTCGCTGGATCATAAAGTGTGATCTCTTCATTCTGAAAGCAAAGAAACACATTTTCAAATATATTTTTTATTTCGGCTCCTTCTAGAACACTATTTGTGGTGTTCGCCTAGTAAAGTGGCTATTACTTGAAAGGTAACTCTAGGTTTTAGCTGATTTTTATTGTTTTTATTAACAATTGACGATGCCTCTGAGAAAAAGGAAATCTCCAGAGAGGCCTGCATCTTCAAAATCCCCTGAAATCTCTAGGTCCCATGTAAACAGTATAAAGGATAGAACGTCATCAGTTGGTTTGCCTAGTGTTGTTCCAAACTCTACACGCCATGTGAGCTTTGCACCTAACCTGCCTTCTATGAAAACATCTCAGGATATTGGAGACTCTAAGATCTCTCTAAAGACTCTTTTGAATGCTATTAAAACCATGGAGGGAAGACTGGAAGGCAAAATAGAGATTCTTGCCTCAAGACCTTTAGTAAATGATGAATCACCACATTTTTTTAAACGGGACTCGGTAAGTGAAGACCACAAATTAAGTCTTAAGAAAAATTTAAATTTATACAAGAATGAAAAATTAACAGTCCAGAAAGATAATGCTTGAAGAAATGAGTAACAAGGGAATAAGGTTTTTAACAAACAGAAAAAAACTAACATAGATTGAATCCACTGTCCTAGCCATCATATAATTGGTTTCAGATATAGAAAATTTGGCGTAACAGTAACTACTGAGTTCATTTTATATAATTTTGATTTTTTTTTTAAATGGAAACTTTCTACCTAATCTTAACATTTGACCTAAAATGCTTGGATAAAGCCTCATTTTCAAGTAGAAATAACTTAATTCAAGAAACCCTAAGAAATTTAACTTTGGAAAATATTTTCTTGAGAAAACTTGTTAGAGCATTCATCTTTACCTGATATTTAGAAATAGAAAATACTGTAGCTTACCTTCTAGAGAGGGCTACTGTTCCTGGAAGGAGGGCTGTGCGTGTGAGTTGTCCAGTCCTTGGTGTTTTGAACAAAGAATTGAACAAAGCGCACAAAGTAGCAAAGAATGAAACAGGAGGGAAGCAGCCAAAGCAGAGATTTATTAATAAAAGAGAAAGCACTTGGCAGTGGGAGTGGGCCTGCAAGTGGCTCAAGGGCCTGTTTACAAAGTTTTCTGGGTTTTAAGTACTCCTTTTGAGGTCCCTATTGGCTACCTCTTATCTGGATGAAGGATTTGGCCTGTGGCTAAAGGCTGAGGTGAATTGACCTCCTATGCTGATGAAGGAATGGCCATTCCTGGCCCAAGGCCTATCCAAGGCACTCTCCCTTTCCATCTGAGACGTGGTAGAAGGGGGAGGATTGTAGGGAGATTAGCCTTGATCCTTTGCTACTTGCTGGGGAGATGGGATTTTTCCTTTTGGTTTAGCTTTTGGAAGTTGGTATTAGGGAGACTTAGATTCCCTGTCCCCAAACCCAGGTGTTTTCCTTTTGATCCAGTTTTGGGAAGTCAGCACAAGATGGCCTCAGATTCCCTGCCCCCAGACCTTGGTGTTTTCTCTTTTAGGAAGTCAGCACAAATTGGCCTTAAATTCTCTGCCTCAGGACCCTATTCTCCTGCCTCACTACTACTATTTAGACTCCTTCTGTAAACATCTAGTGGCACTTTTGCTTTTATAAGTGTGTGTGTATATGTGTGTATATATACTGATACACACACACACACACACACACATATATATATACACACACTTAAAAAACTGTTAGAATTTTTTAAATGATATTGTGTACTTATCTAGAACAAAATTCAGTAGATTATCAGGACCTGTAAGTTGCCATCCTTTGCAGTCTTCTGGGATCCTTTTCTGTAGAAAAAATTAAGTATTTTACATGTTACAGGTTCAAGTTTAAGGACTTCAATAATGTTGAGGTAGATGTGGGGAAAAAACATTCTTTGTTGTATTGGGATTATAAAACAATACAACTTCCTATGGAGGGCAATTTAGCAATATTTATCACAACTTTGACCCTACAATTGTCCTTCTAGGACTTTTTCCTACTGATATACTTGCTTGTACACATGACATGTATACAAGGTTACTTACTGACGTATTGTTGGTTCATAGCTGCAGAGAAAGCAACCAAAATCTCATCAATAAGAGACTGGCTAAATAATAGTGTATCCATAGTTTGTAATACTGCTTCAAGATATGTATGTTATTAAGTTTAAACAATAAAAGTTCAGAAGAGTGTATGTAATTTTTACTATTTGGATGTAAAAGGGATGGGGAGATAAAGAATATATATATATGTATGTATTCACATGTATAAGCATAGACTGTCTCTAAAATGACCCATAATAAACTGGCAACATTATTTTTGAGGAAGGAAACTGGGCAGCTGGGATGTTTTTCACTTAATATTTTTGTACTTTAAGAATATTGTGAATGTGCTACCTATCTAAAATAGTTTCATGAATGTTTTCATTTCAACAAAACTGAGAGCAGAGAAGGGATAGTGTTTTCAACAAATGGTGCTGGGTAATTGGATATCCATATGCAAAAACAAAGTATCATTGGTCCATACCTCACAAAATATATAAAAATTAAAATGGATCATGGATCTAAATGTAAACTCCAAAACTGTAAAACTTATAGAAGAAAACATAGGAAGAAATCTTTGTGATCTTGGATTACATAAAAATTTCTTAGATTTGATATCAAAAGCATGATCCATAAAGGGACAAAAATGATAAATTGGACTTCATCAAGTTTGACACCTTATGCTCTTCAGAAACATTAAGGGAATGGAGAGACAAGCTACAGATTGGAAGGAATTATTTGCAAATCACATATCTGATTAAGGCCTTGTTTTCAGAAAGTATTGAAATATATTTTTAAAATTTAAATACTCAGAAGAAAACCTAAGAAAAAGAATAGGCAAAAATTCAAACATATTTTCTTCGGCAAAGGTATGTGGCTGGTAAGTAAGTGCTTGAAAAGAGGTTAAGCGTCAGTCATTGGGGAAATGCAAATAAAATCACAGTGGGATACTACCACACACCTATTATTAGTACAACCATTTTAGAATTTATTTTGGGAATTTCTTTAAAAGTGAAACATACTACCACCATATGACGCAGTCGGTGCACGACTAAGTATTTATCAAAGACAAATAAAAGTATGTCTCCACAAAGACTTGTACACAAGTGTTCATAGCAGTTCTATTTGTAATGACTTAAAACTGAAAAAAACTTGTGTCCGCCAAATGAATGGATAACAAAATTGTGATGTCCCTACAATAGAATACTAAAAAACAGAACTATTGAAATATAGACCGATTGAATGACTCTCAAAATAATTACACTGAGTGAAAGAAGTTATTCAAACAAGAGTGCATACAATTCCATATAAAATTCTAGAAAATGCAAGCTAATCTATTGTGACAAATAACAGATCAGTGATTACTTGTGAGAATCAGTAGGAGTGTGGGAAGAGAAACAGAAGGGGGAGATTATAAAGGAGCATAAGGAAACTTTTGGAGATAATGGAAATGTTCAGTATCTTAATTATGGTTTCAAAATCTTATGTCAAAACTTATCAAAATTTACACTTTAAGTATATGTAGCTTATTATATGTCACTTATACCTCAGTAAAGCTGTTAAAAAAAATCCGTATGTTACCTATTCAAAAATGTATTAAATGTTTAACATTCTCGTGTTTTTAAGACATAGTCTCACTCTCTCGCCAGGCTGGAGTACAGTGGTGCAATCTTGGCTCACTGCAACCTCTCCCTCCTGGGTTCAAACGATTCTTGTGCCTCAGCCTCCCTAGTGGCTGGGATTACAGGTGCCCACCACCACACTTGGCTAAATTTTTTTTTTTGTATTTTTAGTAGAGACGGGGTTTCACCATGTTGGCCAGGTTGGTCTCTATTTCCTGACCTCATGTTCCACCCACCTCTGCCTCCCAGAGTGCTGGGATTTACAGGCATGAGCCACGGTGCCCGGCCTAAAGTAACATTCTTGAAAGGACAGAACTATAGAAATAGAGAACTGTACATCAATGTAGTGTGGAAAAGAAAAGAGTACAAATTAGTGGTTGCCAGAGGACAGGATGGGTTTTTGGAGGGAAGTGTGAATACAGAGATAGCACAAGGAAATTCTCTGGTGATGGAACAGCTCTGTGTCTTGACTGTGGTGGTAGTGGTCACATGAATATGTAAATAGGATCAAATTGCATAGAACTGTGTGCATGCACATGCACACACGAATACACATGAATGAAAGTTGAAAAAAATGGCAAAATGGAATAAATTATGTAATCTAGTTAATCAAGTTAACAATTTATGTATGTCAATTTCCTGGTTTTGATGTTGAATTACAGCAATATAAGATGTCACCATCAGAAGTAGGATAAAGGGGCCGCATACAGTGGCTCACGCCTATAATCCCAGCACTTTGGTATGCCAAGTTCGGCGGCTCACCTGAGTTCAGGAATTCAAGATCAGCCTGACCAACATGGTGAAACCCATCTCTACTAAAACTACAAAAATTAGCTGGATGTGATGGTGCGTGCCTGTAATCCCAGCTACTTGGGAGGCTGAGGCAGGAGGGCAGAGGTTGCAGTGAGCCCAGATCATGCCATTAGGCTCCAGCCTGGTGACAGAGAAAAACTCCATCTTTGAAAAAAAAAAAAAAAAGCGAAGAAGCAGGATGAAGGGTACATCAGACTCTGCACTATTTTTGCAACATCCTGTGAACCTAAAATTGTTTTGAAATAAAAAGTTTAAAAAGTAATATTTAAAATAGTATGATTATCTGAGCTGATGGTATGGATCTACTAAAACTGTTTCAAGGTTATAAGATTCTACTGTACATTTTAAATTTGGATTCTAAATTGCTATTTCTTATTCTAATTACTGATGTGTCATGTTTTGTACTGTTATTTATTGTTTCTTTTTTTTCTGCTTAGGTGAAATCTATTCTTGAAAGAAGTAAAGAGGAGCTGTCCCGAACAGTGAAGTGTCGTAACGCAGCCCTGAAAGAGAGTCAGAAGTTGAAAGAGGACCTGGAGGCTATGGAGGACAGGGAAAACAAGAAGGCAAGGAATCAGTCTCTTCTGACCGTCTGTCACTGAGAAGAAGCGCTTTTGAAACTTTTCATGAGCCATATGTTTTGCTTTCTTGCTTCCATTAGTAAGAAAGGGTGAGGATTGATCAGGGGAGGATTTCTTTTTTTAGAGAAAAGATAATTTTAGAATAGTTTAAAATTTTTCCCTTAAAATTACATCATATATATAACTCCCAATTTTTTTTTTAACTTTGTCTTAAATACCAAAAGAGAAAGTTCTAATTTTTTCTGTTGAAACATGACTGATCTTGGTAATAGTAACCTTTATAGTTTTGTTGTATTAATGTGATATAAGATTATTGTGATGCTTTCTCTTTAACAGTGTGTGTGTTTAGTGGGAATAGAGTTCACATCCCAAACTTCTCTTTGTCAGCAAGTGCTAGATTTTGCCTCTCTAAGGAGGGCTCTGAGTTACCTCATTGTTCAGCAGCTTCCACTTTCTCTTATAGTCTTTTTTTCTCAGATAATTCTGATGCATTTCAGATGTATTATTTCCATCTGACCCCATCAGAAGACTTCTAAAAGGCCAGCCTGGCATCACCTCTGGACGGAGGTTGTGCTGAGTCAGGCCTCTCTGGTTAATGTGTTTGCTGTAACATGACCATAGTTGGGAAGCTGCAGAGTTCACCATAGGATCTGGGGTCAGCTTTTCATTTTCTCAACAGTAACTTAAGAAACCACCTAAAAATAAAATATACTTTAATTTTTCCCCTTAACATCCTACTGTGTCTGCTTGCCTGCTTTCCATAGTAATGGGAAAGCAGGAGTAATGGGATCCACAAGCAAAAGAGTAACCAGAAAGGATCAAATGTCTTTGTGTTGTTTCATTTTCTGTTAGGTGGGAAACTTTCAGCGACAATTGGCGGAGGCTAAAGAAGACAACTGCAAAGTCACAATCATGTTGGAGAACGTCCTGGCTTCTCACAGTAAGATGCAAGGTGCTCTGGAGAAAGTACAAATAGAGCTTGGGCGGAGGGATTCAGAGATTGCAGGCCTCAAGAAAGAAAGGTACCTGTGGTTTTTTTTTCCCCTATCATTGGTATTGCTGCATTGTATTAAGAAGCAGTGTCAAGTTAATAAATGAAAACACTTTATGTAGCTTCTTTGCAAAAATCTAGTAAAATGGTATGTTTAGAGAACTACCAAATTAGAGAAAATCTAGAATTAGAAATATTATTTCCAAAAATTCAGAATGCCCCTATAATGTAGTAATGTGAAGGAATTTCTAGACTATATAGCCTAGAAATTCATTAGCTGTACTGTTGTTTTACCCTTGCTTTCTGCACCATGTAAACCTAATTCTGTCCTTGCTTCTACAGAGTTGTAATTGTCAAGATAATTGAAACTAGGTACACACTTTAGTTTGAATTATCCATTATTACTATCCTGTTTCAAGATTAATAGTTATTTTAGGTGAATCATTCTGTGAACCACTTCTAACCATGTTTTATAAGTAAATTTCTTCATAGAATGTTTCAAAAATTAAATTTCTTTTTAGGTTAAAGAATAAATGGTCTGAGATTAATAGGGCATATTGCCTCTGTGTTATGAGAGAACAAGTGAGTTTTATTTTTTTATTGTGTTTATCTTTTTTACATAGTATGAAAGTATATTACCTTCGAATTTTTAAAAAGTCAAGGGAATAGTATTAAAAATATTTACTATTCACAATAAATTTATAAGTGGCTGTTATATATAGATGCAGAAATCTCAACAGCAAGCCACTCTTTGTAAAGGTGATATATTTTTTGCTAGTGATATGTATTACTAGTAAAATAGTAAATTATTTACTATAGTGACATATATCACTAGTAAAATAAATATATAACATAAAATTACCAGCTCATAAGTAAGTCAGAAACATGTATTGATAGCCTGATGTATGAAGACAAATTGAATTATAAATGAGACAAGTTATTTAATTCCTAGAAGCCTTAGTTTCTTTCTTTCTTTTTTTTTTTTTTTTTTTTTTTTTAAGGCTAGTCAAGTGAAGAAGTGGGAGTGGAGAAGGAACAAAGAAATATGTCACTGGTTGTGATCAATTCGTTGTAAACACCACTGCACTCGGACCAGCCGAGCCTTAGTTTCTTAACCTGAAGCTAAGGGTACTAATTGTCATCTATGAACTCTCAGATATTTTGAGCATCTGTTTCAGCTTCTTAGAAGAACTCCCAAGTGGTATCATTCCTACATGATTCTTTTCTATCGTCACTCTTTCTGTGTTTTCTGTTTTTAGGGATCTCAATCATCAGAGGGTGCAGAAGCTGGAAGCTGAAGTGGACCAGTGGCAGGCCAGGATGCTCGTCATGGACGACCAGCACAACAGTGAGGTCAGGGCTAGGCTTTAAAAAATGATAACATTGATACTTTTGGTTTTATTGGGATATTACTGTTCTTGAGAAAATGTTTTTTTTCAGTCAAGTCTGAGTTTTGGACAGTGACATACCCACCGATGGGAAATTGACCTATCTTACAATGAGTCACTTATTGGCAAACTAGTACCACAATAATGACTAATCTCTTTGTCTTATATGATCTGCATTTTTATTCATTTATTAATGCACAGATGATTTCAGAGGTTCATAGGCTTAGAAAATAACTTATAATCTGTCAGAAGCAGCTAGAGTGATCCCACTTTTAATAAGGAGTCACCTACACACACGTGCTTACGGGCATGTGTACATACCTGTATATGTATCTATATGCACATATAAAATACACATGGATATTTAATAAATAAGGTTTTTTTCTGTAGGAATCTATAAGGAACAGTTGACAGGTCTTTTTTTTTCCTCTAGGGAGTGAGACCAGAAGGTCATAGGATCAGGAAGGGATATTTAGTTTAAAATTTTAAAAATTAGGATAAATTAAGGTGGGTCTGTTTACCAAAGCTCTCTGTTGACTAATGGAGCATACCTTTCCCGTTGGCTTCTAAGAGTTTCCTAAGGAATGTCTGTAATAAGTTCTTATATATATATTCCAGGCACCTGGAATCTTTGCTTCTGGTTCCATCTAATTGTTTCAGTATCATTTGATGTTAGAATGTGAGGAGTGATTACACAGTGTTATGAACTTCTTGCATCTCTTTGTTACAGTGGAATTCAAAACATTCTTCTCTTTCAGATTGAATCTCTACAAAAAGATCTAGATGTAGCTAGAGAAGACAACAGGAAACTGGCTATGAGTCTGGAACAAGCTCTCCAGACAAATAATCATCTGCAAACAAAGCTAGATCATATGCAAGAGCAATTAGAAAGCAAAGAACTTGAGCGACAGAATCTGGAAACCTTCAAGTAAGAGCAGTATAGTCACAGTAAAATTAGGGAAGTGCCTCTGGAGGAGTAAGTCACATGCACATAAATAGCTCATTCACATAAATCAGTTAAACCCTTTTCTCCTACTTTGAACTAGTACTCCCAGCAGAGCCATGTTAAGGATCCGGCATAGCTGAGCACCAGCAGATAATAGCTGGCTAGAGCATGCTCATTTGACTTCCTTCTCAGCTTTTCCTTCATCCACTATCAAGCTGCTGTTTTACATGAAGGTTAAACCAAAACTTAAAGAATATTGATTAGAAGAGACATTCACATGTTTCTGCCAAGGCTTTTCTATTAACAGCTTATATGTTCTTTAAAAGCACGATTTAGACAAGAAAAAAACATCAGCCTGGGGGGAATGACTCAATCTAAGCAGATGTTAAGCCATTAAATGTTTTCAGTTTTGACTGGAGATTAGTTAGATGAGACCTATCCAGTTCAGATCAAATGACTAAAGTTTTGCCTTAAATTATACATAGGTAGATATTATTTATATATTAATAGCATTCTGTGAAAATTTATACTTAATGGAAATACAGTGGGCACATAGATCTTTATTCCTTTATGTATTTTTATTTATTTATTTACTTGAGACTGGGTCTCACTCTGTTGCCCAGGCTGGAGTGCAGTGGTGTGATCATGGCTCACTGCAGCTTCTACCTCCTGGGCTCAAGTAGTTCTCCCACCTGAGCCTCCTCAGTAGCTGGAACTATAGGCATGTACCACCACACCTGGTTAAATTTTTTGTATTTTTTTTAGAGATAGGGTTTCTCCATGTTGCCCAGGCTGTCTCAAACCCTTGGGCTCAAAATCCACCTGCCTCGGCCTCCCAAAATGCTGGGATTATAGGCATGAGCTGCTGTTCCTGGCCTAGATATTTATTCTTTTCATTTAGTGAGCATGCTGATAGAGGAAAGAGGTATAAGCTGAAACAAAGACAGTATTTTCCAGATATATGATCTCTGCAAATTTTATAGTCAGCTGAAATGTTACTGCCTTAAGATTTTGCCTTACTGTGTTTATGTAATGGTTGGCAGCATCATTTAAAACTCTTCAGTGTCAGTTTAGGTAATTATGATTTAGATGGTTAGTAACTGTTTCAAAAGCCTGAAAATTACTTAGGTAACTATAAAATGTAGTTCCTACTACTACTGCTTATAACAAACAAAACCAAAAAGAAAAAAGAAAAAACCATGGTTAGGAATTCACAGTAAAAGCATGAGGTGAGAGTTAGAGGTCTCCTTGCAGCATTTGCTTCAGAATTTACCTTTATGTCACTGCTTATGATAATAGTTTGTATTTTCATCATAGGTAAATCATGCTGCTTGAGATCTGTGAACCTCCTAAAATCATATGCAGAACTGTGCTTATCAGTGCACAAGCTTAGGAAGACAGAGCAGGTTTTGGAGAACTTGTTGAGTTTCAGGTGGTTATTTAACAGATTTAGAAATGTAGGCCTAGTTCTAAGAGGCTGCTAGTTGGAATTCATCTCTATAAAGATAAAAGCTAAAGGCCAGGCGTGATGGGTCACGCCTGTGATCTCAGCACTTTGGGAGGCTGAGGTGGGCAGATCACAAGGCCAGGAGATCGAGACCATCCTGGCCAACATGGTGAAACCCCCAATCTGGCACCAGAGCAAGACTCCATCTCAAAAAAAAAAAAAAAAAGATAAAAGATAAAGTCTTGGAATGGGTTAGACTGCCACGGGCAAAGTATAGAGAGAGAACCGAGGTCAGAACTTGGAGATATGCTGCATTTCAGGTAGAAGGGGAACAGAGGCCACAGAAGGATCCAGAAAAGGAGCATTTAGTGGAGGTAAGGAAAGAATTGGGAGAATGTAATATCACCAAAGGCAAACAAAAAGTGAGTCATATGCTGCAGAGTCAGAGACCAGAGAGGAAGCCCCTGGGTTTTGCAACAGATATCTACCGCTCATCCTCCAAATGGCCATTTTCTGTAGATATCGGAGATAACAAAGAGTAAGTAATAGATGAGGAAAGGCAGGCAAGGAGGACAATGGTGAAGGTAAAGAAGATTGTATAGCAGCTCAAGAGCATAACATAAAGAAAAGTTATTCTGCTGCTGTCCTATTTTTAGAATGAGAGGAACTGGACCATGATTAAAAAGTATGGGAAAGAACTCGATTGAACTGGAGAACAAGAGAGAGGATAAGCAGAAGGGTTATCTTTAGAGATGAGGTTGGATATTTCTTCCTTTGGGTTTAGAGGGAAGCAGAAGCTGGGTGAGTCTTCAGAAGACTGCTGAGGAAGCTGATTGGTAGATGGTTTGCGATTTTCCTTAGAAGAAAAAAAAGCAAGATGAATACATTCTAGAGATCTGCTGTGTAACACAGGGCTAGGCTATAGTGAACAACACTATATTGTTTGCTTAAAATTTATTAAGAGAGTAGATCTCAGGCCGGGCGCGGTGGCTCAAGCCTGTAATCCCAGCACTTTGGGAGGCCAAGGCGGGTGGATCATGAGGTCAAGAGATCGAGACCATCCTGGT